CACCCAGTCATAGAAGGAGATGAGATTGGTCAGGCAGGACCTTCCTTTCCTAAACGCATGTTGGCTGGACCTGATCCCCTGGTTGTCTTTTACATGCCGCTTGATGGCACTCAGGATGGTCTGTTCCATAATTTTGCCAGGCAACAAAGGTCAGGCTGACAGGCCTTTAGTTCTCTGGGTCCTCCTTCCGGCCCTTCTTGTGCGTGGGCGTCACGTTGGCCAACCTCCAGTCATCTGGGACCTCCCCAGTCAGCCAGGACTGGTGATAAATGATTGAGAATGGCTTAGCCAGTTCTGCCAGCTCCCTCAGCACCCTAGGATGAATCCCATCCGGACCCATGGAGGTTCAACAAAGGAGTTACAACTGTGGTAAAGGTATTCACAAGCTTGTTCAGATCCAGGGAATTTGGGGCTGATGGCTTGACATACAGGAACATGGTGGAGCCATACCAGATTGTGACGACACTGAGATGAGCAGAGGCTTTTTTTTGGCCATGGGCTGACTGAATTCTCAGGATAGAAGAGAGGATGTATATATAGGAGACCAGGGTGACCACACAGAAGGCCACCACAACAATTATGGAGACAAGGAAGGTTGCCAGCTCCATGGGCCATATGTCACTGCAGGAGAGGGCAAGGCAGGAATCTATATCACAGAGGAAATGATTGATGACATTTAGCCCACAGAAGGTCAGCCTGTGTAGAGGGGTTTAAGGGACAGTGGATATGGAAAATTACTAGAAGCCTATAACCTGGGCTTTGAGCTAACTGAAAACACTAAGGCAAACAACCCAGAGATAATTGGCTAGTGTCTATTTAAAGACATTAAAGAAAACAGCTAAGAGATAGTTGGCTAATGTTCAATGTCAACCAGAGACAGATCGGGAGCAATATCAGAGAAGTATAAACTCCTTGGCACCACTTATATAACTCCCTGGCACCGCTTCAGTAACACCTGCACCGCTTCAATAACAAAGCTAAGCTTACGACACCGCGCGTGGACACAGGCTCATCACCAATCAACGATTTTATATGCCGCGTGAAACTCAGCATGTAACCAATCATAAATATTGTTTATCCGCGTGCACCTGATAAGGTATACTATATAAGGAGCTGTAATTATTAATAAAGTGGCTTGCTTGCTTGGGAGCATTCACCTTAACTCTATGAGTACCGTGTGTCTGTCTCCCGCAACTCCCGGCAACACCTTTGCATCTCTGATTCCCTTCGTACATGACCTTACATAGGGGAAAAAGGTGCCTGAGCAGAAGTTTCCTCGCAACCCGTGGTGAGATGCCAGGCTGTCCCCCTGCACTTATGGAGGAACGTGGTGGAACATTCCCTGAAGGTGCCAGGAGTGATGAACTTGGCCAGTGGACTTGGATTTTGTGGCCAGTGGGTTTGCTGCCAGTGGACTCTGATTATGCAGCTTTGGAAGACCCCGGCGCAAGGAGAGTTGGCTGTTCCCGAAGGAGAACTGTCAGCCTCCACTCGCCATCAGGCTTTCGCACTGGCCATATAGGACTGTTGAAGGGTGAGCAAGACCTTGATCACTCCTTGGCTCTCCAATTGCCAGATCAGCTTATGAATGCGGATCACATAGTCTCTGTTGGTGTGATATTGTCGTCTATGCACCGCTGAAGTGGCAACTGGAACCTGCTAGCATTCAACCTTCAGAAACCCTACTGGAGAAGGCTCATCTGAAAAGCCAAGGAAAGTATGGATCTGTTTTTTGTTCTTTCTCTGTACAGCTGCTATACCCAAGGCCCACCAGTATCCTTTTGGGTCCCAGAAATATCCTTTCTTGAGGTAGTCTATGCCAAGGATGCACAGAGCATCTGGGTCAGTCACTCTAGGTTGCATTTGCCACTGTTTACCAGTGAGGCTCACATCGGCCTCCACAAGTCAGTTCTTGAGATCCTCCTGTCACTCCAGAAAAAGTGATGGATTATGTCTCTTTATGATTCGATGGCATTAGGGTGCACTGCACACCAGTGTCCACCAAGGCTTTGTACTTTTGTGGTTCTAATGTGCCAGGCCATCTAATCCAGACAGTCTAGTAAGTTCAGTTGTCTCTCTCCTCCTTATGGCTGAAGGCAGGGCACCTCTAACTTTTAGCAGATGCAGCAATGTCAGCATATGGGTTAGTTGGGCTTTCATTATCATTACTCATACCTGATGTACAGGGATCTTGAGTTGTCCATACACTCCGATTGTCCATACACTCCATGGACTGGAGACTTGAGTGACCATCCTCCTGGAAGGACCTCCGCCTGTATTTGCTTTACCTAACAGTTCACATACTTGTGCCTGTAGGTCAGCAGTAGGCTTGCTATCCCACTTTTTCATGTCCTCCCCATAATCACACACAAGAGGCCACAGGATACTTTGTCTTGAATTCTGTTTCCCTCAATTCTGTCTTTTAGGAGGGCATCTTCTCCTAATGGCTGCAATACAGCCCACTTCCCCTACTGGGGAAGAATGGAGTCTATTCAGTCTCTTAGTCAAGTCATCTATATCTGAGACCCAGGCCTGATGGGGAGTAGAGACAGTGCCTCCATACTGTCGTGCTTTACTAACCACGTCACACACATGTGGTACAAGTATGTCATCGACCCATATAATTACTGACATTGTATGGGAAAATGCTGATGGTACGCTCTGCACAAACTTTTGCAGCATAGGTTTAGGGCATGGTACTTCGTCAGGATCTACAATCTGACCATCATCATAAATCACATTTCACACAGCTAATTCTCTCAAATACTTGATAGCTCTTTCAAGCGTGGATGCTCTGAGCGGGGGGTGGTTCATATCATCTTTGTAGGGATACCTGTCTGTTACAGCTGACAAGAGTCACCTCCATAGGCTGATAATTCTGAAATTTTTCCCAATCACCCTATCAATGCCTGCATCTCTGGCTAGGGATCCCAATTTCCAGGCTTCTCTCTCATCCAAATCCATGGTACCAGCCTCATCATCCCAGCATCAGAGTAACCAAGTGAGAAGTGGTTCACCTTCACGACAGAGAAAGACTTTTGGGTTGGAATCTAAACTACACAGATTTAATGAAACAGTAGTGATGAAGAGAAAAATAATGAAATATCACAAAACCACAGAATCGTCATGCTTGGAAAGGATCTTTGAGATCATTAAGTCCAACCATCAACACAAACACTCCACCAAAAAACACCCACAAAACACCCTCTATGAGCTCAGCCACTAGAGCATGCTGTGAAGTGCCACATCTACACATTTCTTGAATACCTCCAAGGATCGTGACTCAACCACCTCCCTGGGCAGGCTGTTGCAGTGCCTGACCACTCTTTCAGTATAGAAATTCTTCCTAATATCCAATCTGAACCTTCCCTGCTGCAACTTCAGGCTGTTTCCTCTAGTCCTGTCGTTAATTTACTTGAGAGAAGAGGACAACACCCACCTCCATACAACCTCCTTTCACGTAGTTGTAGAGGGCAACGAGGTCTCACCTCAGCTTCCTCTTTTCCAAACTAAACATTCCCAGTTCCCTCAGCCACTCCTCATATGACTTATCCTCTAGACCCTTCACCAGCTTGGTATCACAGAATCACCAAGGATGGAAAAGACCTTTAATATCATCAAGTCCAGCCTATGACCTAACACCACCACATCGGCTAGACCATGGCACTAAGTGCCACATTCAGCCTTTTCTTGAACACATCCAGGGATGGTGCCTCCACCACTTCCCTGGAAAGTCCATTCCAATGTCTAATCACCCTCTCCATGAGGAAGTGCTTCCTAATATCCAACCTAAACCTCCCCTGGCACAGCTTCAGGCCATGCCCTCTTGTCTTGTCACTGGTTGCCTGAAAAAAGAGCCCAGCCCCCATCTGACTACAACCTCCCTTCAGGTAGTTGAAGAGAGTGATAAGGTCCCTCCTGAGTCTCCTCCAGGCTAAACAACCTCAGCTCCCTCAGCCTATCCCTATAAGACTTTTCTCTAGTCCCATAACCAGCCTTGTTGCTCTCTTCTGGACCTACTCCAGCACCTCAATATCCTTCTTAAAGTGAGGGGCCCAGAACTGCACACAGTACTCGAGGCGAGGCCTCACCCGTGCTGTGTACAGGGGGAGAATCACATCCTTATTCCTGC